TGTTTTAAATATTGGCTTGCGCCGTGACTATGCTTGGCGATTTATCGTCGCAGACGTAACGCGAGCGATAATAGGTGTTGATTTTTTATCTTATTATAATTTAGTTGTAGATGTGCGTAATCAACGCCTAATAGATGCTAATACTACGCTTAGTACCTCGGCTTTGCTTGCCAAAAATTTTGATATTTTTTCAGTGAAAGTAATGTCTGGTGACACTGTTTATCATCGCATACTAGCCGAATACCCCAACATTACTCGTCCTTCTGGCTTACATGCTTCCGTAAAACATAACACTGTACATCACATACGCACAACACCTGGACCACCTGTATCTTGCTCACCACGTCGATTAGCACCTGATCGGCTTAAAATTGCTAAGGCCGAATTTGAGGCCATGTTACAGATTGGTACCTGTCGACCATCAGAGTCTCCATGGTCATCTCCTCTACATCTAGCACCGAAAAAGGATGACGGCTGGCGTCCCTGTGGAGACTACCGGATGCTGAATGCGAGAACTATTCCCGACAGGTACTCTATACGTCATATACAGGACTTTGACTATAATCTTTCTGGCTGCACTGTATTTTCCACCATTGACCTTGTGAAGGCCTATAACCAGGTCCCAATTAATCCCAGCGACGTACCGAAAACTGCAATCACGACGCCGTTCGGCCTATACGAGTTCCCGTACATGACGTTCGGACTTCGTAATGCCGGACAAACGTTTCAACGGTTCGTCGACGAAGTGCTGCGGGGCTTAGATTTCGTTTATCCGTATATTGACGATATTTTGGTCTTTTCTGTCGATCAGAAAACTCATCAAGATCATTTTAATCAGGTATTTGGCAGATTAAACGAGTATGGCATGGTCATTAATACTGCAAAATGTACATTTGGAGCATCTGAAGTCACGTTTCTAGGCTATCATGTTTCGGCTGAGGGCGTCAAACCACCTTCAGAAAGGGTTACGGCTATTAGGAACTTTCCCGCTCCAAAAACAGTTCGGGAATTACGTAGATTCCTCGGTATGGTGAATTTTTATCGCAGGTTTATTCCACAAGCTGCTCAACATCAAGCACCGTTGAACGCTCTTCTGGTTGGCTCGGTAAAAAGTTCTCACCCTGTAAATTTATCTGCCCACGAACTGGAAGCTTTTGAAGAGTGTAAAGAAGATCTTTGTCGAGCTGCTATGCTGGTGCATCCTGATTGTAAGGAAAAATTGGCCTTAGTCACGGACGCATCAGACACTGCTATCGGAGCCGTTTTACAACAGTCCAAAGATGACGTCTGGCAGCCACTGGGATTCTTTTCCCGTAAGTTGTCCCCATCTCAGACCAAATACTCTCCATACGACCGGGAGTTATTAGCCATATACGAGGCTATCAAACACTTTCGGCATATGTTAGAAGCTCGCGATTTTGTGATATACACAGATCACAAACCCCTTACATTTGCATTTCATTCCCATAAAGCTAATTGTTCGCCCAGACAGTTCCGCCACTTAGATTTTATATCTCAATTTTGCACCGATATAAGGCATATTGCTGGCAAAAACAACGTAGTAGCTGATACTCTTTCGCGCGTTGATGAAATAGTAAAACCTGTCGACATAGAAAAGCTAGCCACAATGCAAAGTTCAGATGATGAATTACAATCATTTTTAAACTCCGATACATCTATGCGCCTTGAAAAAGTGAAACTGCCTGGGACTGATCTTGAATTATTTTGCGATGTAAGAGGTGATACTAAACGTCCATTTGTTGTAAAAGATTTACGTCGCCATGTGTTTGAGAGCCTACATTCGCTTAGTCACCCAGGTACGAGATCTACTGTCAAATTAGTATCTGATCGTTTTGTATGGCCAGGAATTCGTAGAGACTGCAAAAATTGGGTTCGTTCTTGTATGGCTTGTCAACGGTCCAAAGTCACTCGACATGTTTCATCGCCTATTGGAAACTTTGTGCTGCCTTCCGCTAGATTCAAGCACATACACATAGACTTAATAGGACCATTACCCATTTCGCATGGATTTAGGTATTGTCTCACCGCCATTGATCGTTTTACACGATGGCCTGAGGCAATACCATTATCCGACATTACAGCGGAAACTGTAGCAAGGTCTCTTTTAAGTGGATGGATTTCTCGCTTCGGCTGTCCAACACAGATTGTTACAGATCGCGGGAGACAATTCGAATCGGCATTGTTCAAGCACCTATCTGATATTGCCGGCTTCCAACATAAGCGTACCACTGCCTATCATCCGTCGTGCAACGGGTTAGTGGAAAGGTTTCACAGGCAACTTAAAGCTGCAATAACCTGCCACACTGGCAGCAGTTGGGTAGAGTCTCTTCCTCTTGTCTTATTAGGTATTCGTAGCACCTATAAAGAAGATTTAAAGTCATCTTCTGCTGAATTGCTATATGGAGAACCACTACGTCTGCCAGGAGATTTTTTTCAACCAGGTACAGATAACACAATCGACATGACAGATTATGTAGGACGTCTTCACATGTTCACTAAAAACTTGCAACCGTCTCCAGCTTCGCGTCATGGTCGTTCACGCTCTCCATTCATATTCAAAGACTTGACCACTGCTTCTCATGTCTTCCTTCGCGATGACGCAGGGGCTGGCTCTTTTAAACCAGCATATACCGGACCTCACGAAGTCCTAAAACGAGGTGACAAAGTTTTTAAAATTGCAATAAATGGTAAACCAGTGACTGTCTCGATTGACAGATTAAAACCAGCATACATACTGCGTGATCCAGATACCACAACATTTACACCTCATATCTCAAACAACTCATACTCACACAATCACTCTCATTCGTCTACACATAAAGTATGTGATGACTTACCTGCCACTGATAACATTCCTAAAATTACTAAATCAGGTCGTCGGGTTCAATTTCCAGATTATTATCGCCCGTAGGACGGTCTCTGGAAGGGGGTGATGTAGTGTACCTACATATAAATAAATGTATATGCATAAGATAAAATAATTGTCAAAGTAAACATTATAAAAAAAATATTATATTTAATTAAATTATATGTACAAATACTCCATAACATAATATATAAAATTGTTTAACATGTTAAATTTAAGAAATAATATTTAATGTATTTGTTTGAATGTGTTACACAAGGACAAACACATCTAGTTTCTTTGTATATAATTTTGGCGCTCGCACTAGCTCGGGACGCGGTTACTGCGCAGGCGTGAGACCGCGCGGCGCGGCGTCGCGGCTCGCGCATGCGTGAGGTAGCCCGCGAAATACGAGAGTCGCGTCCACAGATTATTATTGGGATGCATGTAGCACGCGTTGTTTTAATTCAAATTTATTGTTCATATTATTAGATGTCAACCTGAAATAGTTTCATATTTCTTTTTTGCTCACGTTCGCCTTCTTTATTCTATAGCATTGTCTGTACTTTTGTGCTTATATTTTATTACTTTTTACACATGTGAGTGGTGAATAAAAACTTTAAAAATCTAACATAATTTATTTGGAGTTACATCACCACCGCCTCAGTTTAATAAAACTGGTTATTTCAATTTCAGTAAACCATATTTTAATTCAGTCAATATTAATTCATATAAATAATACAACACATATTGCTATAACGTATAGGTATTAACATTTTCATTGTAAAAAGGTTCTCAAAGTTTTCGCAAACAACAGCTTTAAATTAGATCATTTTTTATCTTTAGTTTTATGTTCGACCTTTTTTATCGCATGACACAGGAAAATCTATCGAGTCGTTGTCAATCTAAAAATTACACTTTGCTCAATTATAGATTTTAGCTTAGAGGAGACTCATTGGTTGTGTCAATCAATGAGTCTCCTCTGAGATAAAGTGACGTGACAAGACACTGGTAGTAACGTAGAGAAAATGAAACAAATCTAAATTTAAATAATCATTTTAATTCATCGATTAAAATCAACTTTTTCTTTGTAAATAAAACAATTCATTAAAATAGACAAGTTACATGGTCGCTAATTTGTGAGTGATATTAGATACAAATTAAATTCGAATCGGACATTACTGATTAATATTTACAAAAAAAAAAAACAAAGATAATTCGTAAACAATTTACTTATTGGCACAAAATAATTGAGACAAACACCACTACATCAGAAAATCATTCGAAATTGCTTCGTTTGAAGGTAAAAAAAGTTCGATACGCTTTTCGCTTATGTTAATTATTCAAGAGTATTATTAAAAATGTATAATACAAACATATGTACAGTTCGTTTACAATAAACTGGCTTAACTAATGAAGGCACCAGAGTGAGGTCGGTGGAGGTTATTATCTGAAACAATAAATAAAGTATTTAAGGAAGGAATTATAAAAATACTTCTAAATTTAAAACTAGATGGCGACGCCATATTTCTTTTTAAATTTCCGATCAGAAGATGATATCGAAATGGAGCACATTTTTGAACTTTAGATTTAATTATTTATAATTATTTTAACTATGTCCTATAACCTTAGATACATTCACTACGCCTCTAATAATTCAGTTCTCAGATTTTAAGAAATCAAAATTCTAAGAAATTTTAAGCAATTTAATGAGGGTTAGACCATTTTTAATCATTCAATTTACATCATATAATATTACAAGCCCGAGATTGTTTTAATTAATAAAAATCGTAATTTTCGAAAGTGAAATATTAAAACAAACACGAAGGCAATCGTCTAAGTCGTCATCTGATCATCATCAGCAAGAAAATCGAAACCTATAATACCATACACAATTTGATAAAACGCTTCGTATATTTTAAAAAACGTAGCGACACATAGTTTTATGTCGAGAACTATATTTCTAAAATAACTCTGTCAGGTGACAGAGATAATGCGTAAAACATTTCTCTGGGTCAAAAGAATAATTTTTAAACCTCACTATAACAATTATTAACCAGCGCCGATATGCTAGCCAGTTGATTACTAAGCTTGTCAAATAAATACTTACACAAACTCGCACGATTGGCGACTCTTAGACGTCCGTGCTCCAAACTATCGCATTTGTACCCAAAGCACAAGATGGACAATTCTGAAAAAAAAAATATCTTTGATTTATTTATTTATCGAATTTAAGGCGAGGATTTAACAAGTTTATCTTTTAGGAATAAGTTCTAGGAATCTTTTAGGAATAAAACAGTGTTAGACATTGATATGCATTATGAATTATTAAAAAAATATTAGTAGAATCGTAATGAATTAATGAATGAATACTTTTATTATTCACCATAATTAAATAAAAAGGATAATCGATACAATTAAGTGGCAAAATCGACGGCCTTATCGCTAAAAAGCAAAATCTAAAAATAAAAATAATTTTCTAATTTCCCGCGAAACGCTACTTCTGTTATGACGTCGCTATGACATCACGCCCCTCATAAACTAATAGCGTTCTATGAATGGATAAGATTGAATTCTCTAAGTTCCGATATGAGTTAGAGGATCGTGACGTCACGCGCTGTTTGCGGTCACGTGACAACAAGCATAAAATATTTGTTTCTTCATAATTAATTTAAGCAATATTATAAATATAATAATGTGATTATCAGTATTTATTTTCGTTAACTGTCTATACCCATATTGCTATCATTATCTTGCTTCTATATGCTAAGTAAGTAAAAATATTTTAGGGTTACTTCTGTACGAATTTCTTAATAATTTCATTCATTTAAAATTTAATGTTTGTCGAAAAAGAAGTAAAATCTTATGAAATATCCAAAATAAAAATCTATCAAAACTAATACTTACAACAATACTTTCTATGGCATTCGCCAACTGCTCCTCCATAATCTTAACATCCCCGTGATCCAATACTTCCTGAAAAACATATTAAATAGTAAATAACATCACATACATTGCTCAGATTCCGAGATGAGTAGCTATAGTTCCCGTATTATGGGGTATCCAAGACTACGAAGGTACCACAACATCCAGACCCAAGACAATATACAAAAGTAGGATTTTCTATCTTCGAAGCCGGCACCTCAGAGATGGTGACACCTCGAAATTGGCATGCGAACCACTCGCCTACGGAGGTCATTTCTCAAGGGAAAAAAAACCAGCCCTCACTGAGTTTCTTAGTTCCTGACTATGTTGACAATTTCCAATAAGATTATAGAACTAACACCTATACAGCCAGTTGCACAAGCGTCCATTAATGTTTTCATTAGTTTAAAGCGACATTACCCATCAAATTTGACATTCATGAGAGCTTATAGGCGTCATTAAATCTTAATGGACGTTTGTGAAACTGGCAGTATAGGTGTTAGTTCTATAATCTTATTAGAAATTGTCAACATAGTCAGAAACTAAGAAACTCAGTAAGGGCTGGTTTTTTTTCCCTTGGAAAGTGACCTCGGAAACCCTTGACCCTTGGAAAGTGACAGTAAGTGTCATGGTCTAAAATAATGACTGACCTCCTGACACTGCTTGACGGCGTGCGCCAGAGCGGGCGCGGCGGCGCACAGCCGGGCGGCGGCGCACGCGCAGCTCACGCTGGCGAGCCGCGCCGCGCCGCGCACCACGCCCGCGTTGCCCGCGCTGCCCGCCAGCCGCAGCGACGAGTAGCCGTCCCCGCCCGCGCCCCCGTACCCGCACATGGAGTACGTCATCGACGACATGGCCCGCTGCCATTCCTAAAATCGAGCCCCACGATCATACCGATGCGATATAACCTTATTTTCTATCTTTGTCTTCGCACCGGTCAAACAGAACTGAGCTTTCCGATGCACCGTTCTTTCTATCCGCCTTTTGCTCACTTGATATTCATAGCTCTTAATTATGAATGTTTTCCAATAAAGCATTGTCAACGCAAAATTGATCAAATATAATATTTCATAGAATCGTTATTTTAACATTCTATATGTCTCTATCGTCATAACCTTTATTCGTTTCCACCTAACGAGCACCACAAGTCTTCCTCATAAAAACGAACCCAGGGAGCACAGTCACAATTATTAAAAACCACTTGAAGTGGCTCGGTCTATTCTACAACTACATTTGCAGCAAAAACCAACAGTGTAACGTGCCCTTCGAAACTTGACACTAGAAATTTTGAATTCAATTAGTATTTTTTGCAATCGCTGACAGTAAGTTATTGGGCTCCTACCAACGTATTTTATGCGGGAATCGAACCACGCACATTCCACAATCCATGCAGTGACTTACATAGCTTCCAACACACGGCTCGGGATAGTAGAAACTGATATTATTTTATATTCGGACTGCTGAACAACTTGAAGATTAAGAAATTAGATTATTATTGTAGTTATATACTTAATAATGAAATATGGAGTCGTTAAAAGACACGGTCGAGCAGAACCTTGAAAATCCCTAGGTTAGGTTTCCACCGCCGTTAATATTAGTGTTAATATCTCACGAATATAACTTAGTCACGTTCTATTTAAAGTTTAATCCACATCCGTACATACCTCAGTATCAGTCTTAGCGTCGGCGTCTCCGATGGACCTGACCAGTTCCTTCGATATCGCCATTAAGAGGTAATTTGTGATTTTCGCTTTGGTTTCAACGGTGATTTCTCTTCCAGCTACAGGCGCGATCTCTTTGCAGAGTCTCGTCAAATCATCGTCTGCGGTATTGTGTATTCTATCGAACAGATCCTCGATCAGTTGGCTGACTAGCTGACTCCTCATGGACGGACAAGAACATCGAGTGTCAGACGTGATAAAACTCATGCTATGATGCATCCTCCCGTAATCGGTTTTCTTTGGCACCGCCGTATAAACAGAATAACCTTCGTCTATATATTCCGTTCTTTCTGGCTGCGTATCTATACGGGAGGCGTGATAAGACTGCCTCATGGATTCACTCCTCATTTCTTCCAACTCCTCCGTTTTGATCGACAATTCGTGACTCAAAGTCTTAATCTTCTCGTCGCACTTTCTTTTGCACTGTGTTAAAGCTTTTTGTGTTAATGCTAGCTGCTTTTCCAGAGATTCGACCTGAGAACACACGCCTTCTTAGAACTTCTTCTGTAATGTCTTCATGCATATTTACACGCACAAGAAGATTACACCATAAAAATCATGCACTGTCTCCGTGAGCTGAGCGATCGAACCGAAATAACCGTGAGAATCAAGCGAACATGCAACATTGTAACGCTGTAATGGCGTTCTTATAATAAAATAATCGTTATTTAATAAAGCGTTAGCTAAACACCAAAGCGTTAACCCATTATTAGCTTTACAGTACAGCAAATTTAATATTAACACAAACAAATAAAATAGTTAAATATTTTTTCTATCTTAAATCTGCAACTATATTGAATTTTATTTGTATTTCTTTTACTGTGTAAATATGTATAAAGAAAGCTGCAAATTCGAAGCCAGAAAAAACTTATCGTTAGATTTTTAAATAAGAATGTTGTTAATGACTCATGGGACACATAGTTAACTGAAGTCATAATAATTATTAATCTTACCTCCTCCTTTAATTCACTAGTAGTGACTTCCAAATCTTGATTATTCTTGCAGGCCCTATTCAATTCTTTCTTCATGCAGTCCAGGTCGTTTAAGAAGCTTAACTCTGTTTTCTTGGCAGTCTCCTTGTGACTGGAGAAATCTGCATCTATCTGTTTGTTGACCCTTCGCAGTTGTTCTACTTCTTTCTACAAATCCGAAGGAATAATATTATTGAACTGCAAAAAAATTCTCTTCTTCCGGGTGGATTTAAAACAATTCAATACTTGAAATAAATCACTAAATTGCCTTAAACTATTAAGATTATAGATATTTTACTAACCTTAAACTTAGCATCAAGAGCCTTCAAAGCCGCTTCAGACTTTTTCGCTTCTGCGTCAGCTTTGCTGAACATTGCAGCTAAGTTATTATTCTGCACTTTGAGTGCATTAGTGTCTCTCTCTGCTTTATCTAAAGCTATGCGCAACCCTGATTCAGACTCCTCTATTTCTTTCAACTTCTTCTTCATTGGTTCGAAGCACTTCTTCCAATGATCTCTTTCAGATTCAAGTTTCTTCACCTGTAATTCAAACAATCAGTAACTATCGATAAACTATAAACCTCAATATTTTTATCCGAAAAAATGATTTTTAACCGATCTCAAAATCGAAAAGGAGGTTATATGTTCGTCGACAATATTGTTGACCGATTTTCAAAATTCTTTTTTTATTCGACAGCTTGATGGACCTAGGTGGTCCCATTTCAATTTATACTTTTTCACCAGATATCTAAATATTAAGATATGTTATGACATGGCCCATTTCAATTAAAAAATAAAAGATGGTGTATTTTATAATTCATTTAAAATCTGAAAAGAGGATTTTCTATATTCGACGAATATGTATTTCTTCTTGAATTTTAAACTAATTTTCGTAAAAGCTGTTTCCCTGCGACTTCGCCTGAGTAAATTATACTCTATGTCCACCGCGTATTATGTAGCTTGCCGTTAATGAAAGTCTTTACTATAAATAAGTATATATGAACATTGTTTTAATTTAGTTTTTATATGATTGATCTAATATCAACTCCAAAGTTTATAAATCTTTATATAATATATAAAAAAAATTGTAGACATATTGCTTATACGACGTCCGTGACCAAGTGGCTTGTGATACCGGGCATCGCCATCTCTGAGGGCCCTGGTTCGATTCCCGGTCGTGTAAATGTAGAAATACTACTCTTCTATAATCTCTTAGGTCTGGATTCAGTGTTTTTTTAATTTCTGATTTGTGTTAGTGCTTTAGATACTTGATTAGAGATCTGAGCCATGTATGCGATATTGTTTCATATTTATTTATTTTTATAGATATTACAATTATGTGAAACTAACTAGAAATTATTGTCATTTTTAAGTATCGTTACAATTGCCTCACCTTTGTTTTAAGTTGCGTCTTTGCCGTTTGCGACTCCTCAATCTTCTTCTTATACCCTCCTTCCATCTCGGCCCACATATCATCAGCTTGCGTCAACATCTCCAAGTAAGCAGTTTCTCTTCTCTCTAGTTCAGCTACTCTGTTCTTCAACTCCTGCTCGCTTATCAACAGAGCCTTTAGCCTGCAGCCCATTACTGGGTCAACTGGTAGCTGTAATATTTGAGTTTATTATCTATTATATTTGTAAATTACATATGTCTTCTTAATTTTTATTCTCCCAAATATTTTCAAAGTATTTAGTATAGTATCATATTAATTTATCTTTATACCTATAAAGAACTTCTTCTAACTTGTTATTGAAAAATTTAATTTTGTTTAAAAATGCTATTCAGAAAAATTATTCTGAGTTTAATTTAAATTTAATTTTTAGCGGAGGATATCTTATGTTCAAATTTATAAATCAATAGTTATAGTAAAACCAGCGGTTTTATAAATAAGCACTTATAAGCAATAACTTATAAACCAAACTGCCTTTTTTAATAAAATTAGAGTCAACTTATTTCATTTTGCAGTTAAATGTTATGCTAAAACATTTCATAAGAGGAATCGTCATGGTCAAGGAATTTAATGAGACCAATTCAGAGTTACGTTCGTTCACTTATACGGTCTAATAATGATGTGTTACGGAGAAAATTTTCGCATTTTAGAATTAAACTGATGTTAACGAGCTAATTACATCGACTTTTGCTGTAAGGAAACATGTAACATAACACACAGTAATGCTAGACAAATAGATAGCAGAAAAAATCCAGATTTTTTTAAACAACAATTCGAATTTCCTCTGTATTCAAAATGCATAAAATAGAGCCTGCTAAGTTTATCTATCTTTCAGAATGAAATTTCATGTTATCGTAAGTCTATAGCATACAATACTATATTTAACTAAACTAATTTATTGCATAACTAGCTTTCGCCAGCGGCTTCGCCCGCGTGGTTCCTAAGGAAATGTTTAGTGAGGTAAAAAATAATTTAAATAATTCTGTAGGTATATCCAGAGTAAAGTAAATCTGACCTAACTAACTTCTATTTTTTTTCATTAACAATTTCATGTTTGCCAGTCAATCACGCTGCAACCACTGAACAGATTTTTATAATAATAAATCATACAACATCGATTATGACTATCTTATAATATTGATCTATATACGATGTTGTATGATCTATTATTTGCAGCAAGTACATACAGGTTCCTTGCATTTGACACTGGAGAACATGCCACATAGAGTTGGCCATGGGTAAAGCAGGGAATGCCCAAATGCATGCTGGCCACTTTTAGGGTTTGTCCCTGGGACTTATTGATGGTCATAGCAAATGCCAATTTCAATGGGAACTGCAGCCTTTTGAACTGGAATGGAAAATTGTGGGGTATAATGGGTATGCGGGGAATCAACACGCTCTTGCCTTTAGCTGCTGCCGTAAGTATTGTTGCTCGCACAATGTTTCTTCCCAGTTCGCTGATTTGTAATCTTGTGCCGTTGCACAATCGCGGAGCGTCAAGATTACGCATCAACAAAACTGGGACGCCAACCTTCAGCTCCAGCTTGTGGGGCGGTACGCCCGTCAATTCTAATGAGTTGAGAAACTCCACGGGATACGCAGTGCTGTCATCGCTTGCCATCACCGTGTCTATGGACGTGTACACCCTCGATGCGCCATCTACTACATCTAATACCTTGTTGTTTATTTTATTCACTAATTCATTTTTTGGCGACAGTACTGCTCTCTCAAACAACCACTCCTCATTATTTATTTTGTTTTTTAAATCGGGAAATACATTGGCAAGTAGTTCTTCCTCGGTAGCTACTGGATGACAAAATTCATTGGTGAAAATGATTTTGCCGTCCGGATCGGTTTTCAGCCTACCATCTCCGACCTCGAGCAGCTTACTCGCAAATGACCTGACTCTGTATTATTGTAAAGTTGTGCACGCATATTCCGTCATAGTAAGGTGGAGTTTTTCTACGTGGGACCAAAGTGACGAAGCCTTGAGACACGCGTTCATTTCATCTGCCGGTGTACCCTTTTCGATAACTGGAAGAGTTTGCCGAAAATCACCAGTGAGTACAACAACAGCACCTCCCATCAGCGTCTCATTGCTGCGGATGTCCAGCAGGCTCCGGTTCAAAGCCTCAACCGCGCGCTTGTGTGACATTGTGCACTCGTCCTATACGATTAATTTACATTGTTGCAAAAGGGAACCGCGGTCGCTGCTTTTGCTAATGTTGCACGTTGGATTTTCTTGACTTGCAAGATTCAGAGGTAGACCGAAGAAATAAACAAAAAGTTAATTGAGAAGTAGATTTAGAAAGCTAAATACAGATCTTAATATAAATATGTAAAGTAAGAGAATAGCTAAGTAGATAGAAAATATAGAAGTTATTTGAGAAAAAATCACACAAAATATCAAGTCAAGTCCGTTAGATTAGCCAAATCGACAAATAGAATCAATTGACAACGCAGAACCAAAACGACACAGAAAACACTTACAACTATCCGCACCGCAGGGTCACAGTCATCTATATCCAAGTAGTTGCGGTAATACAACATCGTAATGTAGAATACTACAGTAATGCCACAGGGTAATGCCATCTGTTGGGCTTAATGTTACTGATTACATTAAAAATGATGTTTTATCTTAATACATACATGTACATAAAATAGTGTTTAGAAAATCGGCAATATACGTTGTTTTATTTTCTCAAAAACATCGTATTAAAATCTAAACTACTGATCCAATCTATATGGTGTAAAAAACAATTTTCATGTATATTAAATTTCTTCGACGATAAACATATTTATTTCGATAAGGATTTAATATCACCTACTTAAATAAACGTTTAAAGACGGACGAAAAATTTAAATAGACTTATATGAAGTTCTTTTTATTTTTATGGCAAAACCCTTGCATATAGATATATGACATCGCGGACTTTTTTATAGATAATTTAAGGTTCTCCAACTTTTCTTTAGAAAGCATTCGTATATCTCATACCGTTTAGGCAGCGTTCACAAAAATAGGCGCCGTTGGAGGTACTTTTATCCCTAGGGAACCTTTTGGTGGGATAAAAAGTATCCTATTATCTAAGTCAGGTAATACCCTATCTGTATACCAAATTTCATCAAAATCCGTTCATTCGTTTCGGCGTGATTGACGTACAAACATCCAAACATCCAAACATCCAAACATCTAAACATCCAAACAAAGAAACTTTCACATTTATAATATTAATAGGATGATGTTAACTAACCGATTCATTTTCCTTTTCTTTTGTAATCTCATGCTCAATCTTGTCGATCTGATTATCCAGTATATTCTTCTTGACCGCAGCACCACACTCGGTGGCAGTCATTTGTCGCTTTATTGTATCTAACTCTTCTTCTAGCTCTTTCACCTTCTGCTCTAGCCTCCTTTTCAACTTATCTGTACTACATTCTATTTCTTTCTTTTCTGCCATCAATCTGAAATGAATGTATAACGTCTCGTTTAGTATATAATATTTTTGCGCACTCATAAAACCTTAATTCAAAAGAAAACAAAATACTTTGACTATCATAAACGTTAAGAGCAGAGAAAATATTCACGACAATTGGAAAAATAATTTGCAGTAGGTATCAACTACAGATTTTATCGCTGATGCTTACTTGGTAATTTTGTACTCAAGCTGCTTCACAACAGGTGTATTGTCGGTGTTGATGTCATTATATGCGACTAGAGCGCAGCACCCGTATGATTGCTTATTAGCTTCTTGACGTACTTGTTTGATGAATGTCTTCGTATTATCACTGTACGGTATCATACGACTCTTGAGTGTTCGCTAGAAAAACAATAACAACTCAATAAAGTTTAACCACTCCAAAGGTACGATGCAAAAATACTTCAATTGAACATTTACCATCTCAGATACTAATTGAGCTATCCCATCTCTTAACGAGACTATCAAATTTCTGAAGTACTTGTTATATTCGTTAATTCTTAGATATTCTACTTAAGCACTAAAATGTTAACTTTTTATTTAGATAAAAATGTGTTTTGATTATTAATATATTCTCATTAATACACTGTTTATAAACTGTGATATGGATATTAGCAATTTTAGCGCCACAATCGTTCAATCGCTAACTATATTATTAAACAAACAATTGATTAAAATTATAGAATTTTAAAGCTTACCTGTTCTGCTGGGCTCACATTCGCTCCAATAGCTCGAATAACATTCCATGCTATTAATGCCGGCACCGCCTTCTCCAATTTATCTAATCTTGTTAGGAGTTCATTCTGCAATTATTATCATATATTAACGTATCTGATTTTATTAGTAACGGCAATACAATAACATAAGTTATATATAGTTAACTTACTTCTCTAGCTTTTAATGAACATTCTCTCTTACTAAGTTCACCCATGAGCCTTTCGGCTTGTGCCCTCGAACATTCCCTTTGCTCCGTCATATCTCTTAGTTGAGCTGAGCAGAGCTCAAAGTCCATTTCAAGTCTGAAATAAATATGAAGGAGTAAGAAAGTTTCAAAGCAAAGTTATATCAGAGATCGGTTTAAATTTGTAATACTAACTGCTGCCAATGTAATCGAGTATCGTTCTCGATTTCTTCTAACTCACAACAATCCTCTTCTAGTCTCTCATATTTTTCTTGAAGTTCTAATAGCTGCGATTCTAGGTCCTGAAAAGATTTTATATTACCTTTTAAATAATAGCTCAAATTAATTGCAATCGTTTTCAAATAATTTTATTTTGTAAATTTACCTGTATTCGATTTTCAAGCTGAAATTCTTTCTGCAATCTCTCTGCCAATTTAGCCTGTTTGACGTCTTCAGCAGCCTCATATATGGAAATCTTTCCCTCCAAAAACTTAAGCCTCCTCTCGTAATACTGCTTATGTTTCTTTCCTAACTTCACGCACCTACACTCTAGGCCATCTCCATCTTCCTTAGTATTTAATGTCCTATTTCTAACTCCTTGCCTCTCAAGTTTCTCTCTTATACTATTCAGTCGTTGTATTTCAGTGTTCAATTCACCTGTACATTCGAAACTATCGTTGACGTCGGTCTGAGTACTTTTGGACTCGGTTTCGACACCTTCAAAGATTCCGCTCTCTTGTAATATGTTACTTGGTTTCCGTTCGTCGCTACAAAGACTTTCTAAGGACTCGCATTTGTAACCTTTCTGTTGATACGGTGTGACTGTTGCGATTGCCTTTTGTGTTTTGTGCGATGGAATGTCGAGTTCGGATTTCAATTTCAGATCACATAGTCTTCTTGGTTTCACCTAAGATCACAAGTTAATGTTTTTGGGTTAATACTATTTTATTTAGATAATTTTAACTTAAAATTTTGCCATAACAAAACCAATGACGAAACATGTAAAATTGACAAACCTGACAATGCCAAAAAAAAGTAAGTTTAGATTACAACTTTAACAAATCGGATCTTGAAAAGAGTTTTTATATAAATATCGATAGCCATACCTGATAACATTCATCTTCGCTAACAGAGCTGCTCAACGTTTGTAGGTTATACAGCAACATCAGAACCTGTTCAAGACAAGTTCTGTCTTCTGTGGATGCGGCGTTCAAAATCATCTGTTCCAAATGATCCTTCACTGGATTACTCTTCAAAGAATCACTGGTTTCTGAGTTTCTATCCAATATGTTGGCCAGGACCTGTGCCTTAGCGAAGTCCTCCCTGAAGTCATCGTGGGGAGTCCCTAAAAGCCTCCGAGGATTGCAGGGACTGCTTGGAGCGTGTGGAGATTTATATCCGGAGTCCATTCGCTTGAGCTCAGGAGACGCTGAGTCCTTGATACGAGAACCGGGGGAAACGCAACCTGAGTCAGAATCAGTTAGGTTGTCCCTGGCACCCTGGAAAGAAGAAAACGATAGTTTGATATAGGATATTAGAAAACATGTAAATAAATCTATTAAAATGAAAATTATTATTGACCAGGTTTAAGCCATTCACGTTAAAAGTGAAAAAAAGGTTTCTAAAAAAATAATTCCTATTGAGTTTGGAGGATTTGAACTCTAAGCAATAAAGTTAACCTAGGAGGAAACGTTAAATATGACACAAGTAATTAAATACATTAATCATTGAAATGTAGGTAATTTTCCGACAACGACATTCACATTCGACACGTAACGGACGTAAACTAGGAATGTTGACCGAGTGATTCGCAGCATAGGTAGCTGAGTCAGGGTTGTCTGTTAATGTTTACACTAGGTAAAGAGTATTTCAGAATATTAAGAAACACCAATTAATAACATTCATATTTAATATGAGCTCAGGAAGTAATTTGATAAATTGCAGACAAAAATTAATTATCAATTAAAAGCAGTCACCCAGATTGCGAAAAGGCGTTGGTTCGAGTCCCATCTCATAGTGCCAGGGACAAGGTGGATTTATGAAGCATTTTTCATTAAGAATATTTTAAGTATAGTATTGTGAATGCAAAATTTATCAAATATATCTAATAATTATATAAAAAATTACTTAATTACTTGGCTATGTGATTTAAAAATGCTAGAATTGACTGTCACTCCGCACATTTATACCTTGATGAGCTTAAGTAAATTATATTCTATGGATTGGACCGCATAAATCTTTTATATATAGCCAGCATTTGCCAAACATTGTTCGCAAAAGAATAATTAGTATGTCAAATATCGAGAATATCCTAAATTGTAGGAAGATATAACAATCGAACCAAAGTCTAGACAATTGATTGGATCGTTCTCTCTAAGAAAATCTGAAAGGTGGGTCCCAAATCTTTTTTGTTAGATGGATAAGTAAGGTAAGGGTTAGACTTCTTTGGTAGCCACTTCTGTGACAATTTCATCCATCTGCGGTAAGTCTTTTCTTATATTCTATTATTATATAAATAAAATCTGTATAGTCGCCATCTCATGACTGAAGATCGTGGAGTAAACTACATTTGGATTGGACTATTTCTCGCGTCTCTCATGGGCTTACAGAACTTGGTGGCAGATGAGTCCTTTATTTGATCTCTTCATCAGGTTGGTGATCGGCTTCTTGAGGGTTTGCCTTCAGTGTTGCCAAGCACAACAAGCTTCTCCGAGAACATATTACTAATAAGAAAACTGAAGAGTTTGTCTGTTTATTTGTTTTGTTGAACTCTATAATCTCAGAAACTACTGGAACGAATTGTTTTATTGTTTTTGTATTGAAAAATCCAATTATCGAGGTCGGCTATAGGATATATAACATCATGCTATGACATATAGGAATTGGAGCAGCAATGGAAAATGTTACAAAAACGGAAGAATATTTTACTTTTTTAAACTTTTCATGCGTGCGCTACGTAAACGGTGAAAGTTACGAAAAAATCATGTATTACGAAAGTGGACTTTTCTAAAAAAATTCAAAAAGAAGACTCCGTTCCCCTCTACCAATTAAACAGTTACGGCAGTAGTATTTATATATAACGAATTTAATAGGAAAATTATCACACTTAAGTTGGTTTTAGAAATCTCCGAGTAATAATTAACCAAATGCACTTAACTCGTAATTTTCGAACAACTCCTTTGGAAACAAAAAATGAGATTTTTAGCGTTCTTTATGGATAATGGTACGGCACCCTTTGTGCACAAAACAGACTTGCGCTTACCGGTTTTTTAATAATATGGTTTAATAAGATGGAGAATTATTCATCGGACAACAAAATAAGACGATGATGATAAGCTAATGATGATGATGATATAAAGGTGGATGCTCACTGGAATATTTTTAATTAAGATATGCTTAAGACTCCCGTATAGCAAGCCAGTGTACACATAGTAGTGTTAAAGAAGATTAATATTACATCTATAGACCCAGACACTTTAAGTGTTGCTAACCACGACAAGTTTCTCTAAAAACATATTTCTTATATTAGATAAGAATAATATCACGTCTATAGAGTGAGGTACTTTAGGAAGTCACTACTAGGTACATTCACTACTGTTTTATCTTAATATTTGAAAAAATCTAAATTTGCAATTATTCTCTATCTTTTCATAAGTGATAATAAAATTAGGCAACCCTATTGGCACGTGGGAGATGTTTACGTGGTCTCGCGCGCGCCTACACGCCGCGCAGTAGAACTTGATCTACGGCAAAAGGTGTAGGCTGCAGTCCATACATGGCACCTCATCCACCACTAATCTCATTTAAAACATCATTGTCTTCCAAATATTTAATGTTTAATAGGCAGTTTATTATATTTTATTTATTTTCTTTTCTCTCAAAATGTCCAATCAATTTGTTCAATAAAATTTGGTATCTTATATTCGGCACTTGGTTGAATGTTTCCTTAATGATATTATTAAGCACTTGTAACAATCGCTGCTGCTGACGACGAGCTGAATCACATTTTCCTTATTATAAAAAGTCACCTGCCGCGTTTATGTATATCTGTCTGTCTGAATATAAATTTACCGAATGAACTTTCTTAAGTAATTCGTTTCGCTTGCGTGTTTCATTAGTACCTTGGTCAAGCTCCTATATCTTTTTTTAATTATAATATTGCAATTACTAAACTAAGATAATTCAAAAAACTAATGTGGATGTCTGGCGATACATTTGTTTACGTGGCAGGACCGCGACCACTGTTGATTCAACAAAAGAAAGCTAAAGTCATCTAGCGGCTCATCCCCGAACCTTTATTGAATCTGTTATGTTGGATAGATGCGTATGATCACCGAGTATTTGAATATTGTACTAAGTCAAAACTTACTCAAATTTTTGAGTTGTGTCAGTTTAGATCTAGGTGTGCGATATGTTGTAGGCAATAATATCTTAAAATTTCTAATTTTATTTATAATTACTGAATTAATAAATAAAATATAAGGTACACTTCAAATTAAATCATAACAATGCAGATACGTTAAAGTAACTGTAACTATAAGAGCGTTGTATATATTATGTTGTATTGTTGCTTCATCGTATTCGCTCCAAATATCTTCATTGAGTAACTTACATCAACTTCCAACGTTCAAAATCGTGAATGTTGTATGTGATAATTATATTATAATATTACCTACACAATATCCTTGATAATACGTAAACTACATGGATATTATAACAGCTAAGGACGTCTGTGCCACGTTTAGTCCATTCTACCTATACATAATTACATAATTTATAACTAATATTATAAAGCTTGTTTGTTTGAACGCGCTAATCTCAGGAACTACTGGTTCGAATTGAAAAATTATTTTTGTGTTAAATAGATCATTTATCGAGGAAGGCTTCAGGCTATATAAGATCACGCTGCAACTATTAGGAGCGAAGAAATAATGAAAAACGTCGACGAAGTCGCTGGCGGCCACTAGTATAAAATAAAATCGCTTCCCGCTGTCTGTACGCTAAGATCTTTTAAATTACACAACGGATTTTAACGAGACTTTCGTCAATATTCAAGATGAAGATTTACATGTATGATACAGGACCATGCAGGCAAAGCCTCTGGAGGAAAACTAGTATACGATAAATAAATAAATACTAATCTGAAACGGTTCCGTATTTTGGGAAACCTGAAATAAAATATAAAATCAGAACAGCACAAAATAATTCATAATCTTGTCAAAAGCTCTTTTAAAATCGATACTGTGACGTTATCTACAATAATGAATAACTAAAACAAATAAATAATGTAGATTTCGAAAATTAATATGTACTTTTAGCAGAAAAATTATTTCAAAAGAAAAAAAGACAATCGTCATTAATATAATAAAATGTTTTAACTACAAAAACAGTACATAATTAAAATAAAGCTTTTAATATTAAACAAATCTGTACAGACTTACATTATTGTTTTAAGTATTTTTTTTCTATTGAATAAAACGTAACAACGTGTTCGATCACCGACTATTATTTGCAAAATGGCAAGAATTAGACCGAGTCAGACGTACGTTGATCACGGCCGTGCACGAGACGCATCACGTTAACACCAACATACATTGTGATGATTAATTTGTTATATATCATGATTTCTCAAACTGCCAACTAAACTCAAGATAATTGGAAACATACAAAGAAATAATTAGCTCTTTTTAATTATCTATAATAATAATAATATAAAGATTTGCTCTTTATTCGATTGAAATGACCAAAGCTCAACTTTACTGCTGGACCGATTTTAAAAATTGATTCTGCAATTTAAAGTACAATATCAGAGACTGAAAATTGCCATATTTAAAGAAATGAATAATGATGTTTGGAATATATCAGCCAATTATTGATCGCCCTGCTAGATGTTTTCTCAGTGAAACGACTGATAATAGATTGCAAATAATCAACAAAAAAAAAAATTTTAATACCGTAGCCATTGCAACAATATACCACTGACTCTATATGATATATCAGCTGTTTACCGCCGAATTCGTCCGTGTAAATTATAGCACGTGTTACCCCCGTATTATTTAGATTTCCGTGATCAGATCAGTGTTTTCGAAGATAACCCCATATTAACAAAAAAAAATTAGAAACTTTACCGTTTCATTATATTAGTGGATTTATAAACAAGATTTGGCACATGATGGGAAAATTATGACGTCCCATGCACTTTTTGAGTTATCTATAACTTACGAAAACAATTCATAAATGTAATGACAGTTTTACGAAATTGGCTAGTGCAGTACCTACGTACTGTTTTCACTAGTTGTCCTCGGACGGACACGTTATATTGTCTCTTTTGCACACGTCCACAGGTTGTTACGCTGACTACTGACCTCAGGATATGCGCATAGAAGGCCATCGTTTGTCTTATTATGGTGTTGGTAATGCGTCACTAAGGTGACCGTCCGCCGGTGTCCGGCAGGCTTATTTTTAATTCAGTGTGGAGTATTAATTATGTTATAATATT